TAACTCAATTTCAGACTTTTAAAAATTGTAATACGTCATAGCAGGAAATCTCATGACCGATTTCTAGCCGCTATTTCATCGATGAATTTACTCAATTTCTTCCTTAGCTTCCGTCAACATTACTTATTTTTGTGGCAAAAAGGGAACGAACTGGTTGGCAAGTAACTTTTCATTGTGTGCAAAACGCAGGACAAGACAGCAGGGCCCGGCATGGCCAGATGGTTAGGGCGCTCGACTCGCAATCCCCGTCACACCAAAAATATGCTCGTCCTTTCAGCCGTGGGGGCGTTATAATGTGACGGTCAATCCAACTATTCGTTGGTAAAAGAGTAGCCCAAGAGTTGGCAGTGGGTGGTGATGACTAGCTGCCTTCCCTCTAAGCAAATAAAACAATAAAACTAAAGTTAAACAATTATTTTCCATTATCAATCCTAGTTGTCAGCAGTAAGTCATAACGGATAATGTCTGTGTTCATAGCATCCAAATGACTTGATGTTGACAACTAGAACTGATAATGGAAAATATTCGTTTAATTTTAGTTTTATTGTAATGTTCGTTTCATATTAAGGTCATTATCGTTTTATAGTACTGACTTAATTGCTTATTGACAATTAATGTAACTGAGAGTATTAGAACTACATATATAAAGACGAAATGTGTGTTTGTTTGCACCCTAACTCTTCCGAGTCTATTGGGCCAATCTCAACCCAAATTTATATAAAAACACTATGAACTATGAGGAACGTCCTAAGTAGGTCCAAATTGAACTTAACCCTATTTCTATTTTGTAAAGCCTACTGGTTAATTACTCCCAGCCTACTGATTTAATCGCAAATAATCTTAGCAGGTTGACGTTTTAAACAATGTTGGATATTCTAATCTAAAGGATTCAAGGTCAAAGTATGAAAGTTGCTGGATTGTTTCTCGAACAATCATGCTTTTCTCATGGTCAATTAGAGATAGGGTGTTAAAGGGTAGAATTACCTCAAAATATTAATTTGTTGGTAGATGAAAAGCAATCTGCAAATGTTTATGAAGAAGCTTTTGATATAATTTTAAAATTTTGAAATAAAGTTTATGTTCAAGTTATTACTTTGAAATATATTATTGCTGTTAAAATTGCAGTTTTAATTAAGTTTAAACACTTCCCGTCAATTGATGTGTATTTCAGCTTGTATATATATAAATGCTTCGCCTTGACTAACTTGCATCCTCAACATAAATTCACAACTAGACTTTATAAACTTGACGTCCGTTGACGACAACTGATTACATGATCACTGCTACAGCTCCTTCACGTGAAAAACAAAATAAAGAATAGCAAGTCACGCTGATTACTTGAATAAAGACAATTATATTTACACACGTTATTGGTTAGGTATGTTTCTACAAAACATTAAACACAAAAGTTTTTGTCAAGTTTTAAACAAAGACTGTTGGAATTATACAAATACTAGTGAACCCGTAGGCCTATGGCCCCATTTACAGGACCACCATAATGCAAATTTAATGCTTGAACTACTATTTTGTACTTTTTCAGTTTAATGATCATTGCCCCTATAATGCGAATTTAATTTATTTAACCAAGTTACGAACACTAATTAGCAGGCCCTAATGCAAATTAAAGCCAAATTTGGCGGCCGCTTTCGGGGAATCCCCATAAGAGTGTTTTTCGCGAAATACCCGAGTTCTCTTAAAGGTTGAGTGAAAAGTTTTTCTTTTGTGCAAACCTCGAGGGCGAGACGATTCGTTTGGTACTACTTAGAAGTAGGTGAAACCAGTGGTTTATGAGGAGTTATGTGACACACAGACACTGAACCTGATCATATAGATGGTTGAAGCAGTGTTAAAAACAAACTTTAAAGCACTGTGGATGAGAGAGAAAGGGTATACAGAATGCATATGGTGTGATTTATGTCATCTTTAGTTATAGGTTCAAATCCAGTAACTTTTTTAAGTTGCCAGTTTCAGAGAGAAAGAAAAAGCAACAACTATAAGAACATGTATTAATTAACTTCTGGTCAAAGCAAGCAACCTACATGTAACTAAAAATTAACCCTATAATGAGTATGACTAGTATATATATATACTCTTCTGACGTTATTTGGTTTAATGTGGTTTGTGTTTTGTTAAGCACGTAGCTACATAATAAGCTATTTGTGCTCTGCCTACCACGTATATCGAAACCACATTTTTGGCGTCGTAAACCTGCAGACTCACCACTGAACCACTAGGAGTGTGCCTTACATTCTTACTTATAAAGGTTAAAATGCATTATTTCATTAGTCAGGTAATCTCGCTGTTATCGATATTTTGGCCGTTATCTCAATAACATATCACGAGGTTCCGTCACGTCAGATAGGTTAGTCCTAACTCTCTATACTACGCTAATAATTACAAACAATTAACTGATTTTTCTTCTCACTAAATTGTGTAATATCAGTAAAGAAAAAATAGAATTCATGAAGGACTTTCAAGAAACCCTGAAAAAATTTAAGATAATCTTTAAAATAAAAATACAATAATAAAAAAATCAAAATAATAAAAATAAATACAGTAAACATTCAAACCAATACTGTTAACGAAAACAACATTATAGAAATAATAGAGTGTACTTTAGTTACAGAAGATGTTAACACAATATTAACAAAATATTATCATACAGGGGCTAATAAACTAACAGAAGAGGATTCAAAAAACTACAAATATACCTACATAAATAATTTAAGCTGAAAAGGAAATTGTTAAAAACAGTAAATTACGATATAACAGAGACTTGCGTGAGTGTACAGATTCTACCCTCATTATGGGCCTAGTGGTATAAATATTTAAACTGTGTGTTTTTTTTTCTTTAATTAAAACTAGCAACATTCTTCTTATTCATAGAATTAAACCCAGAACCTCATTGAAAAGTATAGCGAAAGTAGTGTGATATGTCTTGACATTCTAGTATTATCTTTTTAAATACAGGATACTTGGTTTGTAACTGCATAAATGATGTTAGTACAAAACAGAATAACAATCTTGTAAATCATGATATAATCGTTCTTTTCAGTACAAATACCAATCTTATAAGTAACGATTACCATTATTGCCACTATAGTTGCATCTTTTAAATTATGATGTAATAACTTTGTCACTACAGTATATCAGTCCTATTAAGCAATTACAACACGACTTGCACCAAGTCAAATGATCAAATCATTCTTGGAAGGAGCTCCACCTATATTAAAATTAGTGTATATTTGTAAAGAATAAAAGAAAATGAACGGCTATCTTACCGGAACATTATCTTGAGCATGGAAACTGTCGTTGCTCTGAAAAAAAAAAGAGGTTAAATTTACAAAGGTACAAAAAAAAATTAAATGAAGGAAAATTTTAATGAGTTATCTTCTGTGTTCTTAAGAAATAAACAAAGTGCTTAATAAAACTCTTTGGTTTGATCCCTGCCCCAACAAAAATGGGTCAAATTTTGCATAAAGGATACAATAACATGAAATGAGACAAGCTCTTAAAGAAATTCAGTTGCAATTAAAGAATCCTGCATCATACAAAAATAAAAGAATAACAAACAAAAAACAGAAACATGCGTGCTTTAAGAAATAAATGCCACAAACAATGTGTTCCTTAAAAAAATTAATGTTTCAGAGATATTTCCTCCTTAAGAAATTAACGCCACATAAATATTTCACTTTTTAAAAATTTCATGCACAGAGCTATTTCATTCCTTAAGAAATGAATGCAACAAAGATAATACACTCCCTAGAATATTAACACCAAGGACATATTTCATTCCTTAAGAAGTGAATGCTACAAAGATAATACACTCCCTAGAATATTAACACCAAGGACATATTTCATTCCTTAAGAAGTGAATGCTACAAAGATAATACACTCCCTAGAATATTAACACCAAGGACATATTTCATTCCTTAAGAAGTGAATGCTACAAAGATAATACACTCCCTAAAATATTAACACCAAGGCATATTTTATTCCTTAAGAAGTGAATGCTACAAAGATAATACACTCCCTAGAATATTAACACCAAGGACATATTTCATTCCTTAAAAAATGGCTACCACAAAGATAGTTCATTCTTTAAAAAAATAATGTCACAGAGGTACTTCAATCCTCGAGTAATGAATGGCAAATATGGTTTGCTCTCTAGGAAATGATTTTTACAAATATACTTAACTCTTTCACAAATATCTACCATAGATATTTTATGTTTAAAAAAGTGCGACAAAATAATTTTACGTTTCATGTGTTTCAATTACTTAAGGAATTAATGAAACAATGATACCTCACGCTTTAAGAAAGGAATAGCACATAAATTCTTCATGATTTATTACAAAATGGATAAAAGACATTCGATAATTTCAGAAGCACTTATATACTAACTCTTGCAAAAGAAACCATTATCTTCGTCAAAATGAAGCTTCGGAGTTAATATTATTGTTTGAACGTGTAATCTTATTTGTTTAATATTGTCATAATCTACGTCACAAGCATGACATGTTCTTCAGTCTCCATTATAGCCAGAAGCTTCCCTCGTCATTCGATGGTGACGTAGTTCGTTTTTCAAGCTAGATAACCAGTACGTTCATACGAACTCAAATACGCAATTCACTTAAAACACAAACGATGTAAAACAAGAAAATATCAACTTTAGATGAGCCGAGCACAATCCAGCGGTTAACGTGCTGAACTGTGGTTCGCGTCCCGTTACCGCTAAACAAATAATAATAATCGCACACTGCACTTTAGGGCTGTGGATGTTTTATAAAATTGAAAGTCAAATTCCACTATTCGGTCTTAGAAGAGTAGTCACATAATATGGCGGTGGGTGGTGTCGACTTCCTTCAAAATTAGGGGACAGTTATCGCGGAAAACATAAATTCAACCGATACTAAACAGGATTTTCCTGCTTTCCTTTATTGGAATAATAAATAAAAACAAAATGTACTCTGTAAGTAAATACTTTTCCTGTCTACTTCGTTCATAAAAACAGGGATCTGTATAATATTTAACTGTACTCAAGTTGATTTATTTCAATTAATAACATATAATCAAGTTCAATTAATAATCAATATGTTTCCGAATACGTTTAATCTAAATTAACATTACATAATCATCGATTGGGTACCACAGGGTATTTTAAAACGTTTTTTTTTCTCAATTATCTAGGTACCAAAATAACTTATTTGTTGATTAGGGGACCCCTAACAACGATACGAGTCGCAAACACACACACAAAAAAAATATATATATATAAAAGACCTTTAATATTGCAATTAGAAATCCACTAATACCTGTGTGGGTTTCCTATATATGAAGGTTTGTTTTGTTTTGAATTTCGCGCAAAGCTGCACGAGGGCTATCTGCGCTAGTCGTCCCTAATTTAGCAGTGTAAGACTAGAGGGAAGGCAGCTAGTCATCACCACCCACCGCCAACTCTTGGGCTACTCTTTTACCAACGAATAGTGGGATTGACCGTCACATTATAACGCCCCCACGGCTGAAAGGGCGAGCATGTTTGGTGCGAGTCGAGTGCCTTAACCACCTGGCCATGCCGGGCCCATATATGAAGGACTCGGAGACTTAATACAACTGTTTTAGAACCGGAAATGAGGTACATTCGAACAGTATTTCGCAGTTGAAAATTATATCTTCATTAATTATACATATTATATTGAATATATATGTTTCAGTTTTGAGGCCTGTGTTCCCATTTTATGTATGTGTGTTACAGGTTTAGAACACATATTTCACATTTAGTATTTTTTTTGTTCTTTGTTTGTTTCAATTTATCACTGATGATTTCGTCCCATAACATCATAATTTTGCTCAAATTAGCAAATTAAAAAAAAATACATAATATTTCGAAAACCATCTCACATTATACTTTGATTTGGGTTATGGAAGCATTTTAATTTGCGATACTAGCTAATCATAGAAATAAAAGACTCAATAATGGAAAAAAAAATACAATGGATCTAATGAAAAATATATTACGTCCCAGTGTGTTTAAACGAAATATTTGTTGGAAGTCGTTATTTCATCTTTTTTATTTTTTGTAATATTTTGTAGATATATTTAGAAGAACGCTATTGTACCGTAAACAATTCGTATAGTACACCCACGGCCCCAGATTGCAGAGTACGTTTGTGCGGCATCATGATGCAAAACGTGGCCTGCGTTAATACGAGAACGAAAATCTTACTGATGTAGCTAGAGCTACAATATACCGAAACTTCACAAGTGCATATATAAATTACTGAAAAACAGGTAAGCCTTCTTTGAAACTAAAGAAGGTTTAATGTGAATTGAAGTTACGTCTTCTAAATTATGTATCAAATACTATATTTTGTTATAAGTAATCTGTTTTACAGTTTGTATGTGTAAACATTTACTAACAAATGTTATGAAACAATTTTCATAAAATTGTACGAATCTCCTACAATACAAGAACTTTTTTTCTGGGGGGGAGTCAATATCTTACTCTAAGCTGTAATTTATTAAATGTCACGTGGTAGCTGCCCAGCACAATTATAACTCATCATATCTTCAAATTTATTCGAGCCTGTTGGCCCATTAACCCTGAATTTTAACCCACCAGTATAGCCTAAAAATAGAACTGTTTGAATAAAATATTTTTGTGCGGAAATAAATTTTATCATGGTGTAGTATTTCTTAATCAGTGTCTGTCTGGCAGGGTAATTTCATTGTCCTAAGAGGCCTGGGTGTCCTGACCCAATTTTAGGGCAGGGATAATACTGATTGAACGTAGCATAGATGGCACCTTTTCACTGGCCTGGCCCAGTGTTTCAAGATGGCTTATATCATTAGTACTGGTTGGTGATAACCATTTAACTCAGTTGGTTGAAGTGGAAGAGATCTCGGGTTTAATCAGACTTGCAGGTAATGCAAAGATGAAATAACATATTAGATTGTTCATAATGAACGCGATATAGCTAAACTGTTAAATAGGACGCCCATTAAAATGGCTATAATAAGGTGCTTTTTAACAACTCAACCAATTCTTGTTTTCCTACAAACAAGACCCGTCCTCGGTACTTATCTCAGGGTTGTGGGACGATCACTAATTAGGCGTCAGTTTTTCTTTGTAATAATTCAATAGTTTTGATTTCTCGTGGGCAGGACTGAACGTGAGATCTCTCGCACACAATGGAAAGAGCTCTGCCAACGGAGCTAAAGGGCGAACGCTGATCTATTATTGCTATTACGACATTTAACAGCTCGAACTATTTATTACACTAACAAGAATCCCAATATAACAGTGTTAGTTACTGAGAACCAATATCACTGTCTACACACAATTACATTAACCCAATTCAGAATGACTGCGTTTATATAATACAATAAATAACTATGTGTGCAATATTAATTATAACTTCGTGTCTATTACCTTCGGACAACTGACAAATAATTCTCTGATGAAACTGTGAATAACACTGAACATTTTATCTCAATAAATATACTTTCTGTTATGCACCAGTAATTATGGCTCAACACAAGTTTACAGCTGACGAGAGATTAACTAAGTACTCAGTAAGACACACTTCTACAAATATTTTAGAACACAAGTTTTTGCATTTTTGATTTAATTTTCCATAAACTAAACACAGGTTATTACTTCAAGTGAGAGTGTAAATGGCTCGGTTTTCTTACATGCCGTAGTACAGCTGTTGGAAATTGATTTAACCTGGGTAAGAAAAAGTGCTCTCTCGCCAGCCGTACGGTTTTCTTACATGCCATAGTACAGCTGTTGGAAATTGATTTAACCTGGGTAAGAAAAAGTGCTCTCTCGCCAGCCGTACGGTTTTCTTACATGCCGTAGTACAGCTGTTGGAAATTGATTTTAACCTGGGTAAGAAAAAGTGCTCTCTCGCCAGCCGTAATCACGAGAATGGAAATGACCGAATACAATTTTAGTTACCATGTAGTTACCGCAGTATTATACTAGATACATTTAGCCACAGTGTGGAATTTTCAATGGATGCAATGCAATGTCTTCAATAAATGTTGAAATACGTGAATTGAGTTAACACTAGATATATTTTTGTAGGTGTAAGTGAAAAATATAAAGTTTTCTCAATAAAAACTTATCGTTATTTTTTAAACTATACTTCGATAGAGAAACATTTACTAAAATATATATCGCTAATTTACAGTTTTCTTTTTATCCGCATTATTTTAAGGAGTTATAAAAACTATTCTAAATGGAAACTAAATCATAAACCACAAAATTCATCTTGCTAAAAAAATTCAGTTTAAAAGGAGGTTTGTTTGT